CTGACGGGCAGAGCGAGAGGACGATTCAGACTCTCGAGGACATGCTTAGGGCATGTGTTCTAGACTTTGGGGGCAGTTGGGATACGTATCTTCCGTTAGCGGAATTCTCGTATAACAACAGTTATCATGCGAGCATTGATCGACCTCCTTTTGAGATGTTATATGGCAGGAAGTGCAGGACCCCGATTTGTTGGGGCGAGGTCGGTCAGCGAGTCATCGGGAGCACCGAAGTGGTGCTCAAGACGACTGAGTTGATCCAGCAGGTCCGTAGTAGGCTGCAGACTGCGCAGAGTCGGCAGAAGAGCTACGCCGACAGGAGGCGTTCGGACTTGGAGTTCCAGGTGGGAGATATGGTTCTTCTGAAAGTCTCACCTTGGAAAGGTGTCATCAGGTTCCGGAAGAGGGGCAAATTGGGCCTCAGATTTATTGGTCCCTTCAGGGTTTTGGCCCGGGTGGGTCGGGTTGCTTATCGGTTAGATCTTCCTGAGGAGCTTAGTCTGATACACAACACCTTCCACGTGTCGCAGTTGAGGAAGCGTTTAGTGGATGAGACAGCAGTCGTTCCCTTAGAGGACATTCAGGTTGATAGCGGCCTAAATTATATCGAGAAGCCGGTCGCGATTCTGGAACGGAAGACCAAGACCTTGAGGAACAAGGTAATTCAGCTAGTAAAGGTGCAGTGGCAGCACCGGAAGGGGTCTGAATGGACGTGGGAGGCTGAAGAGGAAATGAGAGCGCACTACCCGGAGTTATTTGCAGATCCAGCCGTAGCAGACTTCGAGGACGAAGTCTGAGACAAGTAGGGGAGAATTGTAACGACCCGTTCCAGGTATGTTGATTTATTGGTAATTGTAGTGAGTTTTCTAGAGGGACTCGGCGAGTTCTAGCCTGACTCGCCGAGTCGGGTCGCGTCTGAGGGCACGCATGAGCTGGGGACTCGACGAGTCCATGTCCCCGACTCAGCGAGTCCATCTGTCTGGGTGAAACCCTAAAATCCCCGGGTTGCCCACTATTTATACCACTTTATAGCCCCCATTCTCGCCTCCCTCACCCTGTCAACGCAGTGATAGAGCCCTAAACCTCCATTGAAGAGCTTATATATGTTTTGGTGCCATTTTGTGAAGGTGTGAAGAAGGAGAAGAAGGAAGAAGCAAGGAGAAGGGTTGTGGTGCAAAGATCCAAGGCCAAATCAGAGTTTATTGAGGTATTTTCGGAGTTCCATCTCATATTATGCTTTAAACTTCCATTAGGGCTCTCCTAAGAGCTAGTTGGTGCTTGTTTCAAGCCTCACACTTGCATGAACGTCTTATTAAGTCGATATATCTATGGATCTGAATGTTGGGGTGTTCTAGAGCCCAGATCTACTGTCTTTTTGGAGTTATATTGCATGATAACCATAGATCTATCCATTTTATGCATCTTTTAGCCTTATTTCCCTTATTCATGAGGTTGTGCACGTAAAGTTGGAAACTTTACATGGTAAAACAAACTTATTGGACTCAGATCTATCAATTGTATGCATTGGATTCAAACAAAATCAAGTAAAAATCAGTTGCATGGCGGCGACTCGGCGAGTCGGAAGAACGACTCGACGAGTCGGGTCGCGAGTCCCGAGTCCTTCAGTTTTATCAGTGTCGAGTGGACGAGGTGAGTCAGGAATTGGACTCAGCAAGTTGAGAGTGGACTCAGTGATGGAGGGACTCGACGAGTTGTTCATACAACTCGGCGAGTCCAAGGCAATCTTCTTGGGATCAAGAACAACTCGTCGAGTCTGTTCATACGACTCGGCGAGTCGGATGAAGATTGTCTGAGTTCTTGGATCAAGAGGGTACTCGTCGAGTCGATGCCAGACTCGACGAGTAGCAGTGAGTAGAAGTAAAAAAGTGAGAGTAGGACTCGGCGAGTTGGGTGGCCAACTCGGCGAGTCAGCCCAAAAGAGAGTTGACTTTGACCAAGGGTAAAAGAGTCATTTTACCCCAAGCGCAGTGTTTAGTATTTGATTGAGTGTGTTTATGGACTTGTAGCCGAGGAGATTCAGGAGCAGCCGCCATTAGCTTTCCGAGCCACACACTCAGCAGCCAGCTTACGAGGTGAGTTTCCTTCCAGTAGGAACGGGTCTAAGGCCACAATGCCGGCCCATTCAGTTAGCAGTAGTTTCCGGATTTAGGTCCGATGCAGTAGTTAGTATGTTCAATGCCTTCGTGGCTCGAACAGGATTTGTGTGCTATGTTTCATGTGTTAAGTATTATGTGTTCCGGGCCACGGCTCGATGAAGCATGTCGTATATGTGTTATGCTAGTTGATGTGTTATGCTATGTCATGTTCAGTCAGTCAGTTCCGGACTTCGGTCCGATGCAGTTAGTTCCAGACTTCGGTCCGATGCAGGGGACAAGGTCCCAGTCAGTTCTGGACTTCGGTCTGATGCAGTTAGTTCGGACTTCGGTCCGATGCAGTTAGTTCCGGACTTCGGTCCGATGCAGGGGACAAGGTCCCAATCAGTTCCGGACTTCGGTCCGATGCAGTTTCCGGGCTTCGGCCCGATGCAGTGGGCAAGGCCCAATATGTGTTTATATGTTATTGTATGGTATGTGGTAGTTTGGGGGAGCTCACTAAGCTTCGTGCTTACAGTTTCAGTTTGGTTTCAGGTACTTCCGCAAGCAAAAGGAAGAGCTCGGGGTGACAGCATCGCACACACCACAGCATAGCTTTTATCCTGGGGATGTCTCTTGATGTTTTGGATTGATGTAGTATGATATAGTTTTCCGCACAATATTTTATTATGTTTTGGGGATACATCGCGTATGTTTTATGTTTTATGTTATGATACTTATATTATGGTTTTGATTATATGGAAAAACGAAAATTTTTGGGTCGTGTTTTTGGGTCGTTTCAGCTTTTGTACAATGGCTCCAAACTCCGAAAGCAGAAGAGTTTGAGTGGAATGCTCAAGATCAGCATCACTTGAGTATAGTTCCTTGACCTTATCCCTGATGGATTTTCTATGTCTCATGAACTTACCAAATGAAAAGTGTTTGGTGGAAAAGCAAACCTGATGATCCTCATTGCTTTAACGTTTCTTATCAACTTATCATTCTCATCTTGTTGCATGTCTTTTACATCAAGAAGAATCTTGTTGTAGTCGGATTGAGTTTTAATTTCTCTTTTGTTCCTGTATGAGAAAACGTCTGGATAGTAATGGCTTCCCATATCAGATAGCCATTGTCTTCAAGTCCTAGGACATAATCTTCAAAGTGCAACGCCCACACTTCATAATCATTGGGGCAAAAAAATAGGGATCCTGGTTGTAGATCCAATGTTGCTTGAAAGATTTATGGAGTTAACGTCAGAATCGTTTAACATGTTTAAAGATCGATTAAAACTTGCATGAATCAGATGTGTAAACGAAAATAGTTTTAGGATAATATAAAGATCAAAGATTAGTGTCAATAACAATGATAACGGCTGAACCAGATTCAATAATATCGAAATCCCTAAAAACTATTTTAACAGAAGAGATGCGTATACATGACATAGTCTCCTGAGATTAAAACTCTAAAGATAGAATAGATTCAAACAGGAAAAAGCAATAGAACACAGAGTATGAATCAAGAATATGTCGAATGATTAAAATTCACAGCCTCAGAAGAGCTCGATAAAGAACTGCTACTGTAGACGCTATGCAGAGTTTAAAAGGCAAAAAAGATGATTACAAGACACAGTGCATGCATGCACCTTAAATAGTAAAACCGTAATCATTAATCATAGGTGGACAAGTCTAACCCGGATACACAAAAGACTATACAAAAGCCCATAAAGATGCAACACTAAATACCCAACAGATCTTGGCCAACATAATTATTTTTGGACATTATCAGATAGTCGTCACTTGACATTCAAGAAGTATGTTTCTCCAACAAACACAATATGATAAGGAAGTCATCGAATGAGTAAGCATGATATATTGTAAACCCTCACACATTCCAATTGATATATTCCAAGCTAAGTTATACCATCAATGATCCTTACAATGACTTCATATATTCTTGTAGCCTCAATGGGGCACTCCAATATCTTACTTGACTATGTTTGATATCTCTTATGCAATGAACATGTTGGTCTACATATGTATAACCTTACATGTATCAGATGAACGCCCTCAAACAAATCATTTGTTATATAATGGGAACTTTTTCCTACGGCCTACACTTATCAAAGTAAACCTCTATGCACATCCTTTGTTATACAGACACCGATTTTGATGGATGTTCATGTCAGGACACAAGATATTTAATCTTCGATTATAACATCTATCTTGGTGAAAACCTTGTTTCTTGGCCTTCCACATGGTCTAATGTGGAGGTTGAATGTTGGGGTGTTGCTAAATTTGTATTGGACATTTTGGTTTCATAAATTATTTCTTGAGTTTCTTTGCCCACTTACATAAGCCGCTACAGTTAATTGCGATAATATCAGTACCAACCTGGTTCAACATCAACACACTAACCATATTGAAATAGACATCCAATCTGATCAATGATATCCAATTCTTATGCTTTAACAAAGACTTTCAAAACAATTTCAACATTCGTCAGTCACCGGGTTTTTTTAACGTTCATCCACCTCCAGTTTCAAATATGATATCTCTTACTTTAGGACAAATTACACGAATGGTCCCTATGGTTTGGTGTTTGTTACGCGCCTAGTCCCTAACTCCATTTTTTAACCATGCCAATCCTTAATAGTTTGGTTTAGTGCACGCCTGGTCCCTCATCTAACCGTCCGTTTGATTTTGGAGTTAAAACCCCCACGTGCCTTGCACGTTGAGGGGTATTTCCATCATTTGACTTATTCTTCATACCGCCAGTTTAAGAAATCGGTGCGTTCAATTAAACGATCATACTCTACATTACACAATCATATACCCGAAAAAACCCACAACTATGTGCAAAATCCTTACGTGAAAACCCTAGTAGCGACGACTGCAAGAACAAAGAATTGCAATGGTTTCTTGGCGCATTCGTGGTGAAATGGCTGAAATCGACGTTGATCAAAGTTATGGTATGTTTGATTGACTTTCGTTTGAATGACATTGACTGTTAAAGGTTTAATTTTGTTAGCTAAAAACGATTCTCTCCTGTACAGCTGGACATCCGACAATGTTTTCAATAAGAATGCACCATGGAGGTGAGTTTACAAGCTTTCCTGGAAGGAAGTATATTCGTGGGAAGCAAACATTTGTTGATTTACTGGACATTGATACCTTTTCCGTTCATGACATTGACGAGATAATGGAAGACCTAGGGTATGCTTTAATAGGTAAACCACATTACTATCACTTTCAAAGGCCTTTAGGCGATTTAGATTTTGGGTTATTCGCTTTAGCTAGTGATGAAGATGTTCGTTATTTGGGGAGTTTTGTGGCTAAGCATAAGTTAACTGAGGTATATATAGAGCATGACAAAACTACTTGCACACTATTTAATGTCCCCAACCCACAGTAAAGTTCGTATAACGGAGATTACTGAACCTCCATCTTGTTCAAAGAGACTGTTCCTGGAGTGGCATAGCACACCTGCTGTTGACTTGGAGGATGACATGGATCACATGGAGAAAGAATCGGGTAATGATCCTACACCCACTGTCATCTGGAGAAGGATTTGGGTAATGATGCTACTCTCACTGATCATATGGAGAATGATTTGGGTAATGATGCTACTCTCACTGATCATATGGAGAATGACTTGGTTAATGATGCTAATGACTTTGGTAAGTTTGGTGAGTTAGAGAGTGACAATGATGAAAGTGATGATAGTGATTTTTTTGTGGACATTGAAAATATATTGGATGATATTAATGTGGATATGCAAGATTTTGAAATGAATATCGACAAAGATGTGGAATGGGTTGGAGGGTCGTCTAACACTGTGGTTGATGAAGGCACACAGGATGAAGCTTTAGAGGTGATTAACACTGACTTTTTAGCATCTGATTCATCATCAGATGAGGGGATTAATGGTCAAAGAAAGAAATCAATAAGAGCAATTCAAAGGGCACATGAGAATGATGAAGCACTTGTTAGTGAACCCTTCTATATTTTTCAAAAATTTGGTTCAGCAAAGGAGTTTAAGGATAAGGTAAAACTCCATGCCATAGAGACTAGAAGGGAGCTGGCCCTTGAAAAAAATGACAAGAATAGAGTGAGATGGGTTTGTAAGGGAACAATACCAAAGCTTGGGCCTAATGTAGAAGTCAACGATGAAGAAGAAATATGTCCTTGGGTCTTATTAGCTAGTAAATGGAAAAAAGATGTCAACTGGACAGTTAAAACGTACAACAAAGTCCATAAATGTCTTCAAACTAGAACAGTAAAAGCATGTACGTATAAATTCCTCTCTTCTAAAATTGTTGAACAGGTTGAAAGTAACCCTACTATTCCAATTAGGGCTTTGCAAGAACAGCTACAACGGAGGTTTAAGGTAGATCTTTCTAGGATGAAAACATTTAGGGCAAAATCTGAGGCTCTAAACCTTGTGCAAGGAGATTTCGTTACTCAGTATAGTTTACTCAGAGATTACATTGTTGAGTTCAAACTCGTAACCCAGATACGACTGTTAGGGTTGATGTTGAAAGCGAAGGAAATCCACACAGTGAAACGAGGACATTCAGACGCATTTACATATGCTTGGGAGCTTTAAAGAAAGGCTTCGCAGCTGGAAAGAGGGATTTTCTTGGCTTTGATGGTGCTTTCATGAAGGGTCCATTTCCAGGACAAATTCTTTCAGCCGTGGTAAGTTTTAGTTATGGTTCTTTTACTTATTGTTATACATAAAAATAAGTAAAAATCTATTCATGATTGTTATTTATCATAAAATGCAGGGACTAGATGGTAATAATGGCACATATCCATTGGCATATGCGGTGGTTGAAACAGAGAACATCAGTTCATGGACTTGGTTTTTGAGTTGTCTTGGGGAGGATCTTGGCTTGAATACTAATTCTAATTTCACTTTTATAACAGACAGACAAAAGGTACTAAAATCATAGATTTTTTTTTACTTTATTTCTAAATTGTTTACTAACAAAATCTATGTATGATTGTTAGGGTATTCTAAATGCAATTGCAACCTTGTTTCCTTGTGCTGAAAATCGTTACTGTGTTCGTCACATTCGGGATAACATGAGGAAGCAATGGAGGGGTAAACCTTTCGAAGACCTCTTATGGACATGTGCAACTGCAACACATGTACAACAGTTTAACAAAGGCATGGAAGAGCTAAAGAAATTAAACAAGGATTGTTATGAGTGGCTTAAGAAGATACCACCTCAGCACTGGTCTAGGTCCCATTTCACTGGTATAACATTTAACTCTAATAACATTCTTTATGTTTTCCTGGTTTGTGTAGTTTTTTTAATTGACTTTAAGTGATGTGATTGGACAGGGAGAGCACATTCTGATGTGATTCTTAATAACTTGTGTGAAACATTCAATGGAAAACTGAATGAGGGTCGTGATAAACCAATTATTACTTGCCTAGAGTTCATTAGGGAATATCTAATGAAGAAGATTGTGAATGTAGAAAAGGCCATTGGGAAATGTACTGGTCCTTTGACACCTACAGCTATGCAGACTTTGGAAAATATAAAAAAAAAAAAAGGCAGAAGATTATAGATCTGTATTTTGTGGAAATGGTAAGTATCAGGTAAGTGGCCCTTGGATGGACCAATGCGTGGTGGATGTGGTTCAACAAACATGCTCCTGCAGGAAATGGGAACTCACTGGGATGCCATGCAAACATGTTGTTGCTACTATATGGGAGATGAGGAAGAATAGTAAGGATGTTGGAATACCAGAAACTTGGGTGCATGAGGTATATTGGCTAAAAACTTGGAAACAGATGTACTCATTCAAAATTGAGCCCATTAATGGGAGAAGCATGTGGGAAAAGTCTGTGTGTCCAACAACTTTGGTTCCTCCTAAACATGGTGTCACAATAGGTAGACCAAAGAAGAAACGCAGAAAATCAGCTTATGAAATTGATGACATGGTGAAGGGTAATAGTGCATCAAGAATCCTTCAGTCGGTTACTTGTTCAAAGTGCAACAACATTGGTCATAATGCAAGGAGTTGTAAGGGACAAAAAGCTAGTGCTCCTAGTGGTTCTGGTGGTTCTGGTAAGGGAAAAGGAAAAGCTGGTTGAGGGAAATTGATGACATGGTCTTGATCTATTAGTGAAAGTTTATTTTGTTGGTTAATCAGTTCTTTTGGTTAAATTGTGTCTTTTTGGTAAAACTGTGTCCTTATGGTTAATACTTTTGGGTAAATTATGTTTCTTTTGGTTAACCATTTTGTTGATGTATGAAACTATTAACCATTTTGTTGATGTATGAAACTATGTTATGGAAAGTATGGAAACTAAATTACCCTTTATTAAATCCCACTTGTGCTATTGGTTGTTTATGTCGATTGTTAGCATATGTTATTGGTTGTTTTTGTCAATTGTTAGTGTTTACTTTTCCAAATAAGTTCCAGAAACACTTGATGAAAATACATGGCTCATAGAAGTCAAAATAAGCTCCAAAAACACTTAATCAAACACTTAACCAAAATATTATCAAATTCACAAACACTTAATCAAAATACATTCCAGAAACACTTCAAATTCACATACAACAACCAACTAGATGGATCATAGAAGTCAAAATAAGTTCAAAAAAGACAAACATCATACATAGCATACTAGTTGGATCTTCTTAAGCACTACAACTTGTAAATAATGATTCCTATGAACACCCAACTTAAAATAATGATTATCTTCAGCAGCCGATTCTCAGCTTCAACTTTGTTCTTAGCCTTCAACAGCCCTGGAATTATCCTAGTACATCGTCCACATCCCCTCCTCATGAACCCATCCAATAAACTTACATTTAGGTCCCTATCAAGTTCAAATCCAACAGATTTGCGGTCATTGTCACACAAAAGCTTGAGTTAGAATCAAAACGACCTTACCTTCTTTGTGCAGCCATAAAACTTTCTTCCGGGGTTGTCGTCGGTCCATGATGTCAGTATAACACTTGGTTGCCCGCAATTACATTTCATCATTGTTGATTTTTTGTCCATTAAAGAAACGAGAGATGAAACGAGAGAACAAACGTAGAGGAAGAAAAGGGGGATGCACTGATCTAGGGTTTTTAAAGGATGAATAAGTAAAATGACGGAAATACCCCTCAACGTGCAAGGCACGTGGGGGTTTTAACTCCAAAATCAAACGGAAGGTTAGATGAGGGACCAGGCGTGCACTAAACCAAACTATTAAGGATTGGCATGGTTAAAAAATGAAGTTAGGGACTAGGCGCGTAACAAACACCAAACCATAGGGACCATTCGTGTAATTTGTCCCTTACTTTATATTATACCATTGGGTGATTAAGAAATTAGATTATCATAATTTCTTCTATTTGTAAAAATCGTTTATTTTTTAATAAAATATACTGGTGATTGCTTTAACATATTAAATATATCATAACAAAAAAAAAAGGATCATTTAAAGAATATCTTTAACACTTACCGAACGGATATTTTTACAAAACGTTTTTGACAACTTCTAACTTGTAACTTTTAACAAAAAAAAAACTCAATTTAAACAAAAAAAAATTGTTTGATAGTATGAACTTTTAATATTTAATTTAAATAAAAAACTCAAAATCCGAAAACATTAACGTTTAAAGACATTTAATACACTTCTTTAATCAATTTACATAATAACCATAATAAAATTAAAATAATCTTTTAATAATTGCTCTTTAATGTAATTTTATACAAGTTTTCAACTATATTTATCAAATATTCATAAACAAAATAAAAATTATCAAATATTCCTAAAACAAATAAAATTTCTAACTACCACTTCAAGTTATATTTGCAAAACACATTCTAAATCATACATAGATTTATAGTAAAACATTAAAAAAAAATGGCATCAATACGGCCATTTCGAAGAATGTTCCGTTGTTCAAATTCTTGTCGTTATCCTTCTCTATATATTAAATTCTAGTGCCTTTTTCCTTAATTTACTACCTTCATTTTTAAATATAAAAATAAATGTTTATTTAGTCAATGTAATCAATTGATCATTAGGTCATGACTTTTTGCTAATATTTGAATACTTAACAAAGACGTTGTTAGTATTATAATGAGGACTGATAGTCTAGACAAGGTTTATATATATATATATATATATTATATATATATATATATATATATATATATATATATATATATATATATATTATATATATATATATATATATATATATATGTGTTCTAAAAGGCATGCCATAGCGTGAGGTGTGGCTTCGTCGTTACGAAAAGTTTCATAACGTTGATGTTGGGTGTGGCGCATGACAAGACATGATATGGCACGCAATGGCGCGTTACGGTGTGTTATGGCACGTGTTTTTTCGTTGGAGACACGGTTTTTTGCTCTTTGTTATGTATTTTCTAATCGTAGATACAAGTATTGTGGTTTTTGTTAACTTTTTGTTATTAGTTATTGATCTACACTTCTAAAAAGTAGTTATAATTAATATAAATTTATATTTATGTGGTAATATAATTTTAAATTTATACAAAATCGTAACCTTACATCACGTCTTGAAAAACGTCATGGCTTGTCATAGCTCGTTATTTCTAATCGTAGATACAAGTATTGTGGTTTTTGTTAACTTTTTGTTATTAGTTATTGATCTACACTTCTAAAAAGTAGTTATATTTAATATAAATTTATATTTATGTGGTAATATAATTTTAAATTTATACAAAATCGTAACCTTACATCACGTCTTGAAAAACGTCATGGCTTGTCATAGCTCGTTAAGCTTGAGATTTGGCCTTGCCGCCACGTAACGCCTCAGACCATTTTGAACGTTGATATATATATATATATATATATATATATATATATATATATATATATATATATATATATATATATATATATATATATATATATATATATATATATGATGAGGTTCAATAGAGAACCATGATTAACAAAGAACCAATGAACCAATCGTGAGCGTTAAAAATCTTAATAATCAACGGCTAAGGAAATAGATGTACACTTTTACATTGGACAAACAAAAACCGGATTATACCAAAAAATTCACCTCCTTACCAAAAAACTCACATCTTTTTTTTCGTTTAAAACTTTTTTAGGTCACATTTTTTATAAAAAAAAAAAAAAAAAAAAAACAAATATACCGTTGTTCTCGATTTTCCATCATCTTTCCATAGAGATCCATATTTATATATAAAAAAATAAAATTTATTATCGAAAAAAATCCACTTTATTTTGTTAGTTTTTTTTTCAATATTTAAGTTTTTTTCCATAAAAAAAAAAATTATACCAAAATATTAATTTTTTGTAATAAACATCAACAATGATTTAAAAAAAAAAAAAACCTCGAACAGTGTAGATTCACACTGTGAATCTAAACTGTAAACATTTCAATTTTTAACATTCACAATGTGAAAAAGCTCGAACAGTTCATATTTACATTGTGAATCTGACTTACTATTAAGCATACTATGAATCTGAGAAAGTTCACAAAAAAAACCTCGATCAATGTAGATTCACGCTGTGAATCTAAACTGTAAATATTTTAATTTTTAACAATCAAAATGTGAAAAAGCTCCGATCAGTTCAGATTCACACTGTAAATCTGACTTATTATTATGCATACTGTGAATCTGAGAAGGTTCACAATATGAATCTGAACGCGTTGACAATATGAATCTGAACAGGTTCACAATGTGAATCTGAACTGAAATATTGTTGTTTTTGCATGAATATGAGAAGTATAAAAAACATGAATTTTGATATATTTATTAGTTTTATTCAATAAAAAAATAGACCTTAACTTTTCAACAAAGAAAATGAAGTGAGCTTTTTTTCAAAAAAAAAGAAGATCGTTTTTTATATATCATCATCGATCTCTTTAGAAAGATGACAAAAAATCGTGAACAACAGTATATTTGTTTTTTTTTTTTTTGATAAAAAACATGGCCTAAAAATATTTTTAACGAAAAAAAGAAGTGACTTTTGTTATAATCTGGTGCATGTGCGTCTATTGTAAAAGTCTACAACCATTCCTTTTGTCATTGATCAATTTAAATTTCGACACTTTGAATTGGTTCATTGGTTCCTTAATTAATAATGGTTCTCTATTGAACTTTTATATATATATATATATATATATATATATATATATATATATATATATATATATATATATATATATATATAAGCTTAGTTTATTTTGATTTTACTAACTATTGTGTGCAATAATGCACAAATCTGGACCATCGGATGGAATAGAATCAAATATCATGATTTGAGGGTCTATGATATTAAAATAGGATAGCATGTACCATATAATCACACTAATTTCAACACAATGCCATTTTAGTCAATTAACCTATATTAAAAAATGAATTTTTCGGATTTCTTGGAATAATTAAGTCTTTTATTTTTAAAAATCAGAATATTTTAAATTAATTAAAATTTAAAAATCCGATTTTATTCTATCAGAATGAGAGAATGCCAACCATAAACAAGTAAATATATTTTTCAATATTAATTTATCAGAATAAAAGAATGTCAATCATGA